AGCTGCAGGTCCGCGCTAGATCTGCGGATGGCTACACGGGGGGGAAGGGGGGGGGGGGGGGTTGCGGTGTGTGGATGACTCGTGAGGTGCCCAAGAGGAAGCCGGTCAAAGTTCAGTGCCGGGGCGAGGTCTCGGTACGGAGCGGTTCCTTTTTCGAAGGATCGCACGCACCTCACGTTTCTCCAACTCATGAAAATCATCCTCCGGATGCCAGAACCTACCGTGCGCCGTCATTCAGCGGGAGGCTGATATCGCAAGTAAGACAATAACTGATTGGGCGAGCCTTTGTCGGGAGGTTGTGGTAAATGCCGTCTGTAAGCATTCAGACATGATTGGTGGCGAAGGCGTGACTGTAGAACTAGACGAGAGTATGATCGGTCGGCACAAGTACCATCGCAGGTATTTAAGGCCTGGCCAGTGGGTTTTCGGTGGTGTGGCGCGTTGCAGCGGGTGCTGCTTTTTTGTTCCCGTGGAGACCCGTGACGCTAAAACCCTGCAAGGGCTAATAGCCAAGTGGGTCCGCCCTGGAACAAGAATAATCACAGATTGTTGGGCTGGCTATCGCAAGCTTGCAGATGGCGCTCGCTTCACGCACCTCACCGTTAACCACAAGCTGCACTTTGTCGACCCGAACACTGGTGCGCACACCAATACGGTGGAGGGCACCTGGGCCCACGTCAAAAACTCTCTTCCACGTGGACGGCGCGAGAGCCACCATTTCACTGGTCACCTTGCAAAGTTCATGTTTTGGAGGAGAGAGAAGGCGCGCGGAAACACTGATAGATTCCAGTCGTTCGTCGCCGCGGCCGCCAAAATCTAGAGCCCCGACGCAGACAGGCCGAGGATTCTGACGGCCCCGGTGACTTCGAGGGATCCGCTGCGCTGAGCCCGTCACCCGCCTGCATGCGTAAAGACGACTTATGCGCCAACCGCTCGTCAAGTGCTCGTTACGTCAGTTATAGGTTCTGGTAGCGGTCTCAACGGTCCTCTTCAGGGCCCCCATATTTTGCAAACGGAGCTGTGTTTTGAATGCGGCACCCCCTGTCTCTGTAAAAAGTTCACAGGAAAGACCCAGCAAAGGTATGTGGTCCCCAACTTGGATATCGGGTGTTATGATTCAAAAAAAAATTGTTCTTGCTTATTTCGCGCCTTTGATCCCAATAAATGCCGCCGTTGCAGTCGTCCCGCGGTGCTGTTGCTCGCCCATTCGCCGTCGGCGTGCCTCAGCTTCGTTGTCTTTGCTAGCGGCGCACCGGCGAGGGCGGCCTTTGATCCAAATAAATGCCGCCGTTGCAGTCGTCCCGTGGTGTTGTTGCTTGCTCGATCGCCGTCGGCGTGTCTCAGCTTCGTCGTCTTTGCTAGCGGCGCACCGGCGGAGGCGGTTGATCTGACACACCGCGTTCGGCTGTGGCTAGCAGAGGGCGTTCGTAAAATGGCGTCAGCTGTTGCTGGCTTCACGCGGCGGTACCGTGCGTGCTTCTATTCATTCGGTGTTCGTTGCCATGGTGACGGCGAGGAAAGCAGACGAACTTTTTGATGCGGAAGAACGCTGCGGCGCAGCGATACCAGGCGCGTTCTAAGGCCCTTGCCGCATGCTTTTCAATGGGCGGAAGGCGAACAAAAAGAGTTCGAAATAAGGACTTAACGCAGAAGGCTGCATTTCTCCAGCGCCTCATAATTTGACGAGCCTTGCACGAAAAGCATGTTTTTTTGGCCATCCCGTGTCCTGTTTTTTTTATCCGGAACATGGGTCTAAAGTATCAAACTGCCCAAACAACAAGCCCCTTTATCCTGGGAATACTGGCACCATTCATTGTTGTGGAAATGCTCGAGACACGTGCCGCGCGACACTTGGGACACTCCAAGGCCCGCTTTCGTAAAGACCGCCGCCTGGCCAACACCGGCGCCAACCCCTGCGGGGGTGCTGGACTCCCTGCGCCGCCGGTAATTCGGCCGGCTCGTATGCAAGTATGGCACGCAAAAAGCCCTCTCCAGGCGCTTGAGACCGGCCTACCAGAAGTAAGCAGCCCATGGCAGCACCGCGAAGACCATCACCGCGAAGATTGCTGCTAGGCCTAACACACCATAACTTTCATCTGTACATTACATCATCACATAATCACCATCACTAGACACGGCACCGCGGGCCTCCTTGGTACGAGCTCTTGCATTTCTGCGGTGCCGCGGCTCTCCTGAGCAAATAAAACATATCACTTCTGAGAACATGGGGTGTGAAATCTTGCTCAGTTCTGCCCAGCGTTGGTTTTGCCTGTTCCTCCATGATCTTCCCAAGAGCTGCACGTTGTACGTGTCTGGTGCATCGACGCACCTTGCGCTACTTTTTAAACATGCCGGCGGGGGGGGGGGGGGGGAGGGGGATTTCGCTATCGTTGCATTTCTCCTTGAAGGGGTGAGCGTAAAGTGTCTCAAGTGTTGTGCCATAGCCTCCTCTATACGGAGAAAGCCTGGCACGTCGCGAAAAAAAGTGGCCGCCGAAAGTAGGAGAGGAGGGGCGGGGAATCAGGAGCGGAGGGAAGCTTGTCTGCCAGCGCCACAGAAGAGCGAGCGGACAAACGCAGAAACAGTTTTTTTTCCTTCTTTTTTTTTCTTTTCCGGAATCGCGGAGAAGAGAAACTCGACGTCGACCCTCTCTCTCCCTTCGCCGTCCCTGCGCCGCAGCCGTTTCTCCCGGAGCACGAAAACGACGGTGACGAAAACACGAAAACAAACGTGGTTCGGGGAGCGGCCGCTCATGACCCAAGCGCTCGCAGACTATCTCTGCCCTTTCTGCTCTGCGCTACCACATTGGTCACCGCTTCGCGCGCTCCTCCTCTCCTTTTTTCTGCGGCCGCGCTCCCTATGGCTCCGCCGTCGATGTGCCAGGCTTTCTCCGTATAGAGGAGGCTATGGTTGTGCGCGAGCGCGCGGAGCCCGAGAGCGTCTAGTATTGGCGACGTGAGCGATCGATAGCGTCGCTGTGGTCGGCCTTCGACGATTGACCAAATGCTGACTATGACGTCTGCAAAGGATTTCCCATCGACAGAAATAAGACTAATGTAAGAACCTAAAATATGACGGTGTTCGGAGCGTTGCTTTCAGAGTGCAATGATTTCAAGCTTCCACCATGCTCATTACAAACACCATCTAAATGGTGTCCGCAAGGTAATGACGTCAGGAGAGGTAACCATAGGAGGGCGCCACCAAAACATCTCGCTGCTAATACTCTGCGTGCTCATGCAGGGCCGGTTTGCTGATCTTGCGGCCGCGGCTGCGGCTGCGGCCAAGAGGGATTGTTCTTGTTTGTCGACGTTTAGCGCACTCAAAAGCTGTCATTCAAGCATTCACACACCCAAAGAACACTCCTTTCACACAGCGCTCACTAACAACTTTGTATTTCGTGGTTTACTTCGGCTTCTACTTCTTCAGATTTTTGACGATTTGCAAATAGAAAAAGACGACGTAAGAGTAAAAAATCCTGCCTAACGCTTAAGCTAATTCGTGGCTAAATAATTAATCTCTTTTCGTGATAATGTTATCGACGGCGTACTAACACATTTGTCCTCTAGTCGTATGATATTGTCGGCTTCGATGATTTCTCTTGTTAATTGGTTTGCACTTTTGCCCAACACGGTGCTGTTGTTGAAGTGCGCGACCCATTCACAATCCCGACAGTGTATTCGCAAGTGACCAGAGTTAGCGTTTACAATGTTGTTGGAGTGTTCTCGAAGGCGGTCATTCAAACATCGCCCAGTTTGTCCAACGTATTGTCTTCCACATGAAAGGGGGAATGAATAGACAACCCCCTCAACGCCGGGCACAAAGTTGGTCCTATGCTTCTTGGAGCAGCAGATTGCGGGATTTGAGGGTGTGGTGACGTTTTTGCAAAGGCTGGACAGTTTGGAGGGTGCTGAAAACACGATGTCCACATTGACTCTGTTCGCTGTTTTCTTGAGGCCGTGGGAAAAATTGTGGATGTAAGGGACGATGACTGGTCTTCTTGTCCTGTCTCTGTGTGTTTGTTTGACACAGTTATCTGGCTTCATTTCTTTAAGAAGAGTTTCGACCACTGAAACCAATAAGAACAAAGGGTACCCTGCTGACTTTAGTCTTGCAATTTGCCCGTCGAAACTCTTTTGTATGGAATGCGAGCACGACTTTGCGATAGAGCTCTTAAGGCATGACCGCACTTTGAGGTCAAGCGATTGGTTCAAGCTCGGTGGACAACGTCCTCTCGGCATTTAAAGTCTGCATGAGTCCCCTAGAAATCACCCACGAGTTGCCGGTTAAAGGTTCCCTAAGATTCTTGGATCTCCGACTGGAGGTGCTACCTCACCACGTCTGCTGGTCCTATGAACCCAGGGGTAAAAAACCACTCCTCCCTTTCAACTGCGCGCTCAAAACTCGTGAAAAGAGGCATAGCGCGGTCATGCCTTAAGAGCTCTATCGCAAAGTCGTGCTCGCATTCCATACAAAAGAGTTTCGACGGGCAAATTGCAAGACTAAAGTTGGACAAACTGGGCGATGTTTGAATGACCGCCTTCGAGAACACTCCAACAACATCGTAAAGGGCTGTTTATACTCCAACGTAACGTCGACGGGCGCGCGCGCCCAACCGCGTTGCCTGACGTTGCTACGAAAGGACAGTTTATACTCTGACGACAGGTGGAACGCCTCGCAACGTAACGCGCCCCGGCGCGCGCCAGCGAAGCTCACGTCGAGGCGGGCTGTTTATACTCCAACGTAACGTCGACGGGCGGGCGCTCCCGAGCGCGTTGCGTGACGTAGCTGCGAAAGGAGAGTTTATACTCCGAACAAAGTGGACCGCCTCGCAACGTAACGCGCCTCGGCGCGCGCCGGCGAAGCTCACGTCGAGGTAGGCGCTGCTCGAATCTCGGCGTCGGCCGACGACGGTCGTCACCCAGAATTCCTCGCGCGAGCGTCAGTTGGAAAGAAAAATGGCGAACGGAGGTGCCGTGGAGTGCGAACCGAGCCATCTGACGACGGACGAGGTTGAGCGGCTCATTGAAGCGGTGAGAGAGCGCGAGTGTCTTTATGACGTCGGTTCTCTAGAGTACAGGGATTCCAAGCGAAAAAAGAATGCCTGGGAGTCCGTGCGCATTGCCTGCGGCATGAAGTCCGGTAAGTTGACTAGGGTGATTTCATGTGCGCTTTGCTTGGCGTGACGACATCTGGCCATTTTGTTTCGAACGCTTTTTGTGTGTGTGTGTGTGTGTGTGTGTGTGTGTGTGTGTGTGTGTGTGTGTGTGTGTGTGTGTGTGTGTGTGTGTGTGTGTGTGTGTGTGTGTGTGTGTGTGTGTGTTGAAGCGCGTAAAAGAGCGTGTCCCTGCACGCGCGCGTGGCGCTGACTGTGCTACGGCCACGGTGTAGCTACGGCGACATTTTGCTTCCTGCGATTTCTTTGTATTTTCCCTGTGAGCGCGTGCTGTCGCCATCGGGTACTACAAACGATGGCATCATCCAAACAGAAAGACATTGAGGCGCTCTAGTTATTTAGGACTTCAAACAGAAAAGCAGTGCAAGCGGCTTAACTGACATGGCAACTTGTTCAGCATTTTATTTTTGTATCACGTCTGCATTTGGGAGAACTGAATTCGACATATTTATTTCAGGTGAGGACGCACAAAAAGCGTGGAAGCGTGTACGCGACAGGTATGTTCGGGATGTCCGCGCCATTGAAGCTGCCACAAGGAGTGGTAGTGGCTTCGTCCGGAAAAAACAATGGGCCTTCCTGGAAATGATGTCGTTTTACGAGAAACATATCCGACCCAGGAAGTATGTAAACAAAACATGAGTCCTCATTTGCTCTCTAACTAAAGTTCTCTCCCATATGTTAATCCCACTTGCAGGGCAACCACCAACGTAAAGGCACCACCTGTGGGCGACACAGCACAGTGTCTATTAATGGAAATGGTGGAATCTTCTCCTGGCGACTCGACTATTCCCACTGACTTCGAGCCTGCCCAAGAAGAGCTGCAGTGCAGCCCCGAGTCTCCTGTCCCAGCCACGCCGTCCACCTGGGTTGTATCAACATCAAGTACCTCGAGGAGGTCATCAGGCCAGTCACAAAGGTGCCCAGGACCCCCCATTCTGCACGCAGAAGGGAGGCTGACACAATGGAGAGAGAACTTTTAAATCATTTAAGGACTAAAATGACACAGAACGAGGCGTTTGCCTACTCTGTAGCACAATCTCTAGATCGTTGGGACAAGGTCACCAGTGCCCAATTCAGGGCTTGTGTAATGCAGATTGTGTATGAGTATGAATGTAAATTTTAGCAGAAATAAAACGCCCCCGACCTTTGTGCATCTGAAGGCACACGTGTCCACTCATGTTTTGATAATATACGGATTCTGTTAACATGAACTACATTTTCGAAGAGCAATCTCTGCTTATGCAATTCTACTACATCGCTAGAAAAAAAAAAACATAATCTGTGAAGCAGTCTATGTTAATCTGAATATTATTAACTCTCTAGTTCAATACTTCAGAATTTGTTCTCGGAGGCAAGCTCCAGGGATGCCTATCGCATAAAATAGCTTGAAAGAACACCTACAGACATTTTTCAAATTTACCCCAAGCGTCAAGGTAGTGGCTTGGAATGTAGGTACACACGAGTGTGGACGATACCTTGCGCAGCGAGTGTACCTGCAAACCCGGCATGATCTTTGGTGCGTGTGTAAATTAGCAAAATGTTTAGTGCACATAATAGCATCATCTGCTACTCAGACACACAGCCTGCGCTAATACCGTTAACCAAACATGCTTTCTACCCATTACATTCGCTTCGTGGGTGGCACGCATTGCTCGAAACCTGTTTATATTTCCGAGAGAAATGCAAGTAGAAAAGCAGGCTTATCGAAAGTACATCTAGAATGTTATTTTACTCCTTTGTGGTGTAAATGAAAAGATTAAACCCGACTTTTGTAATTAATACGCAAGCTATCCTATTTTCCAAGTGAGCCACTACTACATTCCTGCGGGTTCACTTAATGAGAAACCAATCATTTGGTATGCGTGCCTGTATCTCAGTGGCAAGCGAAAAACATGAATGGCCAATATTCCCCGCTTGTGCCAATTACCTCGCTCTCCCCTGTAGAACAAAATTCACCAAGGTAGGCAGGTAAGCTCTTTGAAGGTGAAAACAACGAGGGATTGCGAAATATATTTTGCCGGTCAACCTTGTTAAGCAAGCAGAGCAGAGAAAATATATACAATTTATTTGCAAGGAAAGAAAAAAATTGAACAGCATTGATAACAACCTTGTGTCGTCGTCTACTCCCTCGTCACTATGTCGTGTTGCCACGGGATGGCTCCCCTAGGGGAGATGAAGTGGTCTGCCAGCTGGTCCCTGATGCTGATTGCTGCTGGGCTGCTGTTGCCACCTAGGCTCCTGTTTACACCAACATTCAAAATGTCAGCTCGCCACTGACCATCCACACGGGCGCCCCTCCTTTCACTGTCAGTATATCCAGGAGGGCGGTAGGCTTCATCCCGTGTCAGGAAGTTGTGGAGGCAGACTCCCGCTTTTATCATATTTTCACAGTGCTCAACAGTGCCATGCATGGGAGCCAGAAACGCCCGCCAGCGAGACACAAGTATTCCGAGGGCGTTTTCTACTGTACGCCTGCCCCGGGAGAGCCTGTAGTTGAAGACCTTTTTTCGGTAGTCCAAGCCTCTTCCGGGGAAAGGGCGCATGAGGTACGTTTTCAACGGGAAGGCTTCATCCCCCAGGAGGCACAGAGGTGGTGCAGGCTCTGCGATTACAGGGATCTGGAGGGTGTTGGCAGCTAACGCCTTTCCGAGGTTAGACTCTCTCAACACACCGCCATCGGACTGGTGTCCGGCAGCCCCAATGTCCACCAGTCGAAACCTGTAGTGGGCGTCAACAACAGCGAGCAGCACCATCGAGTAGAATTTCTTGTGGTTGTGAAATATTGAGCCAGAGTTTGGTGGGCACCTGATCGCAAAGTGCTTGCCATCTATTGATCCAATGGCGTTAGGAAAGTTCCACTTGACGCAGAACTCCCTCCGGATCTCTTCCCACTGTTGTGATGTGGGTGGCTGCAGCACTAACTGGGAGAGGCAGTCCCAGATGGCTGGCAGCGTTTCCTGGAGGATCCCCGATAATGTTGCTTTATGCATCCGGTAACTTATGGACACATGGCCCAGAGATCCTGGTGATGCAAGGAACCTAGAAATGTGAAAAACAAAATTGTGAGACTTAGTACCTAACTCAGAGCAACTGTTTAGTCAGTCATTTGCACTGTTTGTGACTAAGAACGACCTACGAGAGTGCTCCGTCAGACTTATATTGCTATACACGCAATATGTAAATATGTACTAAATGTGTTTGACTGACGCTCTACGGTGTTTTGAAATAGTTTCTACTCTAAAACTGCCCGCAAAAATCAAGGGATTGGCGCATGAAGTGGAAATTGATCTCGAATATGAGTTTTACTGTGCTGATTTGCTCATTAAAAATTTCAGTCTCAATTTAAAGTGCAAAAAAAAATGAATGACGATGTTGTCAAATGGGTCAGCCTTTCTATTTAGTAAAATATGTGTTTGATGTAGTAAGTGTTACAATGATACGTTGATCCGCTTATTTATGAGTGTCTCAAAATAAAGTTTCAAGGTAGTACTAATGGCCCGTCAAACATCAGCAACTGAACCTATCAAGTTGAAACTTACCTCGAATACATACCTCACCAGTCCCCTTTACATATTACAAATTCAAGTCTCTATTTAAAGTACGAAAAACTTAAAAAGAAAACTTTCCCATTTTAGGCTTTTTTTTCGTTCTAGGAGTTCAGACTTAAGATTTGAATGCGTGCTGTACATCCAACTAGTAAAGGAAGCATTTGAGGTAAGTTTCTACTTGAAACGTCGCGTCCCTGATTTTTGCTGGCGATTTAAGAGCCCAAACTTTATTTTGAAACGCACTGTCAAGATTGGGCCTCTCAATTAAAATATCGGAGTAGATGAGAGCGCATAAGTTCCCGGTTTGAGGTATTTTAATACGAGTTGGGCGTGTGTACGGCGGTAGTACACCGCCTAGAAGCATAACCTAATCAGTCAAGCATCCGCGAAAATGAAGTGTATATCAAATATGTAGTACATAAAGTGCCTCAATGTACTTCTGTTTTGGGGGATGCCACCGTTTGTGGTGCCCGATGCCGACAGCACGCGCTCACAGGGAAAATACAAAGAAATCGCAAGAAACAAAATGTTGCCTTGTCACGCCAGTCTTGTCACGTTGTCACGCCAGCAGCGCGTGCAGGGACACGCTCTTTCACGCTTTCAGAACAAACAAAAAAAAGCGTTCGAAACAAAATAGTAAAATGTCATCACCCCAAGCAAAGTGCACATGAAGGCACCCTAGTAGTACATACCTCAGTGTGATGGCCAGCCGCTCAGCGGGTGAGATGGGAGAGCGATGTGTGGGCGAGTGTACAAGACGGTCGTGGACGAGTCCGAGCAGCTCGTCGAATGAAGCCTTCGTCATCCTGCAGAAAAGGAAACGACAGAATTGATTCACTATGATAAGCGACATGAGTATCGACCGTCGCCTTACCTGAAATATTGGAAGTGGTATTCTGGGTCGGACTCGCGCAGCTCCTGTACAAGATGGTAAAATTCTCCAAACACTGTGCGCTTATCAAATATGTCTCGTACGTACATCGTGTGTGTTCTCTGGCGCCGTATTCGGCGCCATAAAAGCACCGCTGCAATTTTTTTCTTTTTTTGCTGATCTAAATACATCGCGAATCGGCTCTCCATGGTTCCTCCCGTCTGAACAAGTCAGGACAGAATGCAAACGGAAACGGAAATAAACCATCAGCTTATGTCGCGATTGGCATGGCGGCGCGCAGGCGCAACGCGAAGTGCGCGTCGGAGCGCGCTGGACCGCGATGGAGTATAAATGCCGTTGACCGCAACCCTTTCAGCGCAGCGCGTCGTGTCGTTGTTGACGACGAACGCCGGCGCACGTCACGTTCGTCGACGTCGGAGTATAAACAGCCCTTAAACGCTAACTCTGGCCACTTGGGAATACACTGTCGGGATTGTGGATGTGTCGCGCACCTCAACAACAGCACCGTGTTGGGCAAAAGTGCAAACCAATTAACAAGAGAAATCATCGAAGCCGACAATATCATACGACTAGAGGACAAATGTGTTAGTACGCCGTCGATAACATTATCACGAAAAGAGATTAATTATTTAGCCGCGAATTAGCTTAAACGTTAGGCAGGATTTTTTACTCTTACGTCGTCTTTTTCTATTTGCAAATCGTCAAAAATCTGAAGAACTAGAAGCCGAAGTAAACCACGAAATACAAAGTTGTTAGTGAGCGCTGTGTGAAAGGAGTGTTCTTTGGGTGTGTGAATGCTTGAATGACAGCTTTTGAGTGCGCTAAACGTCGACAAACATGAGCAACCAACTCGCCCAATCTCAAGTTCTCACAGGGATTGTTCTGTCACGTGACCAGCTCCATGGGGACAAGTAAGTACCTAGCGACCCTGCCTAATGGCGGAGAAATCCGTATCGCTTCAAGCACAAACGCCTAATTCGCTCGCGGAAACTGACTGCAGGGACTTTCAACTGGAGTTCAATTGACCGCCCCCGTATACTGTAGGAGCGGCAGATAAAGTTACGGCCAGAAAGGGTGAAAATGAGCCAAAATAAAGGAAAAACCACTCGAGATGAAAGCGGTGGCAGAATATTTATATACCTCCGCCAGCGCGGGCGTCTCGCGCCTTCTACTGTGGTCGGAGAAAGAAGAAGACGCCGTAGCGAAAGGCTGCGTTTTCATGTTCTCCGTCCAAGAAAACAAACCGGCCTCTGGCCGAGGAATCCAGTCTACAGATTCAGATGCTACCATTACTGCAATGGACAACTACCGTGTTCTGATGCCATG